TGGCTAAGTACTCTCTTGGATGTGGAAAGACCAAAGAGAAGCCAAATCATGTGCTGGGACAGGCTGAGCTCACCTGTCTTTCCTTCCAATCCCAGCTCGGTCTCCCTGTTCCTGCCTCATTTAATTCTCACATCTTGATTTAAAAGTCATGAGTAGATTAAAGGTGAGAGGTAAGGGCTGTGCTACACACGTGGAAAGCAAGTTAAAGAAAAGAGACAAAAACATTTAACATCATTTGACAGTTTGCAAATTGACTTCACTTACATTATCCTATATGGTTATCTCTGTTCTATAGATAAGGAAACTGAGCTTCAGAGATATGAAATTATTTGTCCAGAACCAAAGAGTTAATAAATGTCAGAACTGGGACTTGAATCCAGATCTTCTGGCTCTAAGTCCATTGTTCTTTATACAAAAGGCTAAGGCATCAGCCAGCAGTCATATTGTTAATAAGTCGAAAGTGGTTTTTTTTCTTTACATTTACCGTGATTACAATGCTAGACTTGTAGTTATGGGTTTTTCTAAGATTAGTGCTATATAAATATTAACTACTGTAATTATTACTATTATTATCATCACTAAAATCATGGGCTACATAGGGGAGTTCATTTTATTCAGTCCAGTAAGTACCCAGTATTTTTGGTAAATAAAACATGTCTACACTCTCAGGAAGTAGAGAAAGCAAATTATAAACATAGATGAAATGTGATGTGATGGATTCTGTAATGGATATACGACTAAGACAAGGAAATAATACAGGACGAGGTTCCATAGTGTAGCAGTTAGCACATCTGCTTTACACGCAGAAGGTCCTGGGTTCGTGCCCCAGTGGGGCCACAGTCCATGGTCTACAGCCATGCTACTCTCAACAAGCACGATGTCTGATCTCGGAAGCTAAGCAGGGTTGGGCCTGGTTAGTACTTGGATGAGAGACCACCTAGGAAGACCAGGTGCTGAAGGCATAAATAATAATGATAAGTACTAAAATAAATAAATAAATAATTTTAAAAAAAGAAGTAATACAGAGCAGTGGTTCTTGAACTTCAGCATACATCAACATCACCTAGATAGCTTGTAAAACACAGATTGCTAGGCCCTGCCCTCAGAGATTCTGGGGTGAGGCCCAAGAATGTGAATTCCTTACAAGTTCCTGGATGGTGTCGATGCCCTGGTCAGGAGACCACAGTTTGAAAGCTGGCCAGGTTGGGCCAGAGAAGATATTTTAGAAGTGATAACCAGGCAAAGCGTGAAGAAGTAAAAGGAGTTTGCCTGATGAAATGGATGGAATGGCATTCCAGGTAGATGGAATAGCATGCATACATGTATAGGCAGATAAAACAGTAGATAGGCGATCTGCAAGAAATTTGATAGTATCACAATCAAAAGGGAAGTGGACAGTGGTAAAAGATGAGTCTGAACTCATGATGGGTTTCATGTACCATACAAGGCATGCAGTCTTGCCCTGTAGGCAGAGCAGAGCCAGTGGAGGATTCGAAACAGAAAAGCACCTTAGTCAAATTTGCATAATAGAAAACTATTTAATTCTACTGCATATTGAAGAATGGAGGAAATTCACACTTTCTACCTAAATATGAAAGAACTCTATTGAACACCTATTATATTATGCCCAGAGATTAATCAAATGTGTATACATCTTGTTATTTTGGTCAAACAGCTAATAAGTCACTGCGTAGCATCCATATATATAAGCCAAAGATACTATCCTTGCCCCTAGGCACTTGTAGGAGCCAACACTAACACATAGGAAACAACAGAGCACAAGGCAAGGCAATATTTTACCAAGGACAGAACGGAGTAAGATCTGAAAGACTGAAGCAGTCATCCAGGGTTTCATGGAGAAGGCAGAACACAGGCTAGCCTTGCAGAACAGCTCCATTTGGCCAGAGGAAGGCATGGCAGGCGAGGAGGACCCAGGAGCAAAGGAGCAGAAGGAAACTAAACTTTGAATGCACAGAGACATTATTGAAGCGGAGGCAGCTGGTCAACCTTTGACAGCGGCTTTTCTTGAGACATGATGGGGGAGTGGAAAAAAGTTTGGATCAAAAAGGCTCTTTCTAGAGGGGATAACCTCTGGAAAATATTTAGAACAGAATTAATTAGGGCAATCTAAAGATAAGAAATGTGTCTCAACCATCTGCAAACCTCCTCTCCTCTCATATCACCCAAGGATAATAGGAATCAAGGGAACAGAATATTTCAAAGCTTGGATTGGGGGCAAGAGACAGGGAAGATACATTGGGCTTCGGTTCTGATAGGACCAAAATGACAGTAGTTGATTTCTTAAGAGCCATTGTCTTGAGAATGAGATGAGTTGGTGATCTGACAGCTTCATATAAAAGGCCATCTGTCCTGTGCACTGGGATGCCTAGGACACCCTCCCTTTCAGCTCCCAGATGGTAGCACAATGCATTTGTGCAAGGGCAACTTCCTGGATCATTTGCTTATTCCCAAATTTGCAAATAGGAAAATGTTTCTGCGTGTTGGTTTTGTGAATTGTGTTTTCTCTTCATCTTTTCATAGCACAACTTAACCATCTTTGCAACATTCTCTTTAGCTTTATCTTTTATCCAAAGAATAGTGTTTGCACTTAACTGAAACAAAACTACAAATTGGTTTTTTCTTGTGTCTTTATAAAGAATGGTGTATTTGTTCACAGTATAAATTGGAGTCATTGCTGAATTTGACATTTCATATCCCCTTACAATTATCCCAAACTTTGTTCTGGCCAACATATCATCCTTTCCCTGGACTGCTGTACTTTTTATTTCCATTACCAGAGCAGCACATGGCTTTTTATTCAAGGTCATTATTCCCAAAGAATTAAGATGTATGCCATCACAAAAGTGACATCCTATATAACCAAGAGTGTGGAGAGGCAAAGCTGCCATGTGTGTTGTAGGTTGAAGCAGTGGATGGGATCAGCTAAGCTAGTCTCTGCCTGTGGCTCAGTTCTCACACCAACCAGGTGGCCATGCTGTTCTCATTTAAACCTCATCAAATTAAAAGTTACTACAGACACTATGGACCTTCAAGGTCACATAGGAAGAGTTAGATGTATAGCTAATAAATCAGACATTCTGACATACTTTACTTTGGGGTGAGAGGTAATGATTAGGATGCATGTGGCTGGAAATACAGATAGCAGCATGCCCAGTTTAATCAAATATACCTCATTAAGCCCAGTGAACAACCTTATTGAATTTATCATTAACTATATTTAAACATAATCAATCTTAAATTTCCTCTTTCTAAAATTATGTCTTAGACGAAAATTAAAAAAAAAGAGAGAGCGAGATAGTGGGTAAGACTTTGCCAAAGGGTGCTTTCATGGGGCACATGGCAGCCAAAACAAAAAGCCCAGTTTTAATTGAATTATAGACTGTGTAATTATTTAACCTGTACCAGCTGGTCTCAAGAAGCTACCAGATTCCTTAGAGAGCTTGTACTTGGCTGGAAAAATAAGGTACCTTATTAGTAACAACAACAACAACAACAAAAAGCCTTCTGTACATGTGTTACCCCCGACCCCCAAAGAACATATTGTAAAAGGGAAAAAGAATTTTGAAGTTCATTTTTGATTTAAGAGACAGTCATCCCTCCCTCTGAGTGGATTTACTATAACACCTATAGTCTCTAAGGAATGGCCAGCACAAACAGGATGTTATTGCATCAGACAGGTAAGAGTAATTTCTCTAATTAGTCATTTGAGATTTTATTTTTTACTTGGATGCACCGGATATTTAATTTGTGACATGCAGTTGGCAAACTGACAGTAGCTACAACTGCTCCTCCCTCTGTCTTGCTGTCCTGATGCCCTGTGGGAAGCAGTGGGGCGTCTTCATGTAGACACTGCTTCATCTATCAACATCAAGCTAACTAAAGTACCTTCTTATTGACAAATGTGTCCTAATTACACCTTCTTCACTGGTAATGCTAGAATAATCCTAATGAGTTTCCCATGATCGTTTTTCTTTTAGATTAAATGTTTTCTCTCAATCCCCCAAATTTTGCAACAGTGAAGTAATTTATAATACATTCTCATCTCATAAGAACGTGTTTCCTAAAGGTACCAAGCAAAATATTTTTAGGAAGCTGTACTTCATGAATTAAAGTATGATTGAAGACAGCCCTTTGATTAAAGAAAGAGTTCATTCTTTTATTTTAAGACACCCTTCTCTCAAGAAAGATTGATTGGCACCAAACGTGGTTCCCATAAATCATAGCTATTGATTTTACATTTGTTTTAGCTCTTCTGATTTTTATGTACTCTGCCCCCGCTTATGTCATAATATGTTACCCTGGTAGCTGACCCCTGAGTTGGTGCTGGGACTGAACCTACAAGATGGTTTCTTTCAGTTCATTCTAATCTACGTGTGAAACAAATGAGCTTTCAAACACAAAACCATGCTCCCTTCGCTTGTTATAACATTATCCTGGTATTTCCCATGGAGATTACAGATGCCACACAGTAAAAGCTGTGGCAAGTGGCAACATTAGGAATGTTTGCATATTCCTATCAGCATCAGTGCAGACATGGCTCCTGGCTGCCCAGAATGCTACAGGAAACTGGGTGCTCTTCCCTCTGGCTTTTCACACATAGATTTGCTCTTAGAATTCAGAATGCAAATATTATGGCCATCTTCTAGAAATTCTCAAGGTCAGAACATCCTTCCACCTTCCACAAGTAGCAGAAGTGATGGGAGATAGAATGTCTGCTGGCTGTACTTCACCTTGTTTGCTAAAAAGGGGTTCTCCAGGCATCTTTAATCTGTATCGGCTTAGATGCTTATAGGTAGAGCTTGGGATGCTGCCAGATCACTAAGTGGTCTATTTAGGGTAAAAGTCACTAGAATTTTAGATATATATGTACTCAAGTATAACTTCTTGTGTTTTGATTTTTCTGAGCAATTTGAGTGAATGGCATGCTCTCATTTTAAGTTGTTATTTTACACTGTTTTCTCCTCTGGTTTCCCATTCAGTATTCAGTTACATCACTCAAGACCATCCCAGAACTGTGCCGAAGATGTGATTCACAAAATGAAGACAGATCAGGTAGGTTTTCCTTCTCAGCTCTCCTCTCATCCTGACTTTGAGAGTGTGGAAGCTCTTTCTACTTACATTGTTTGCTCCTGCTTTCTGTTTTTTGTTTGTTCGTTTGTTTTGTTTTGTTTTATTTTGTTTTTATGGCTTCTCCACACACCCCTACTCTCAGCAAACAGACGTTAGGTCATCCTCCAAAGGCTAACAGGACAGGGAGGCCCTAATGAAGACGTGGCTGTATACAAATAAATGTAGGCGATCATCTCGACAGCCCAAACCACAGTATATGCAGCAATTTATTGAAAACCCGAGAAACCATTGGTGACAAAACATAATGATGCAGGCGCCAATGAAAAAATGTTGGATGCATTTGCTACCCATGTGGCAAGGCCAGCTTGGGGGATGGTGCTTGTCCAAAGTCTGAAACCCTATCAGGGATGCGACATGATAGAATCTGCAATAAGGCATACTGTAATAGTTAAGATTAAAGCAAAACTTTGGAGTTTAATAGTGTAAACTAAACAGAATTATGGCATATAGATGAAAACCAGCTGGTTGACCTTTTCTCCTTGCATACCCCACCACCCCCGACAAAAAAACTACATTCAGGGTTGTTTTTCCCTCTGTAAATCAAATTAAGCCTCTCTCCTCTTCTCTCTCTGATGGGCAAAAATGAAAATAAAAAAGAATATTGATGGGAACGATACCATGGCATTAACTATGAAATGATGTTTATTATTTTTCCAAGTAATTCCTCTAAGGCATCACCGTTAACCTTGCCAAAGCCGGACCTCCTCTGATAGTAACTAGAATCCTGAGAACCATGGGTGATAGAACGCTTAAGATAATCCTCAAATTATGTGTATCATGTTTAAATATAAATAGATGGTTTGTTCCTGCACAGCTACTAGAATTGTAGGCCTAACTGAAAGGACTTGTACAAAACAAATTTACTTTTTTCCTAGACTGTTTATTTTCTTTTGACATTTTGCTTAGATGAGACGTGGAAAATAATTAGTCTTCCTAGGGGTGTGTGTGTGTGTGTAAGTAACGCTTCAATGTTTGGGTCAGAAACATCATACAAGATGGTTTTAATTTGAAATAAAATTTTCCATTTACCTTCAGGTTTTAAAAAATATTTTTTATTTGAAATACACTCAAGTCTCTATTGGGTGTAACAGAGGCTTTGGCCATAAGGCTTATAGGATGTGTCTTCTTAGAAGGAATCACTAGGTTCAAAGCTGAACCTCTGACTGTGGTCAGTGACACAACAATCATATTGCAGTGGACGGACCAGAGCCTCAGAGGAAAAATAACTTGGGTTCAAGTTAACATTCAACCATTTATCAGCTCTATGACTCTGGGCCAATGAGTAATTATCTATAAAGTAAAAAAGAAATTTGGTCTGCCAATGCTACCAGACTATTATTAGGATCAAAATTAAGTGATATATCCAAAGGTACTTTGTAGATACAACATTTTCTTTTTTTATTAATTGGAGTTGGGGAGTAGGGAGAAGAAATAATAACGAACACTTCAGTAGTACTTAATGTGTGTGCTAGGTATGATTGTAAGCACTTTACTTACAGTAGCTCAATTAATTCTAAAGTCCCTGTGAGCTGAGCACTATTAGGATGTTTGTATTGTAGATGAGCAAACTGAGACACAGAACAGAGAAGTTAAATATTTTGCCCAGAGTCACACAGCAATTAAGTTACAGAGCTGGAATTCAAACCTCAGGAAGTCTGCCTCTACCCTCTGTTCTCTTATGCATTATATATACTACCTCTCACATAGGTGAACTCGGTGTCACTAGTTTAATTTCAGGATAGTCTTTTAAAACTATGAAAATCAGCATTTTTCCTCATTAAGTGGTGAATTTCTTTTCTCTGTTAAATAGCTATTCTTGCTTACTAAGTGAATTAACTGAAGATTTTTAAAGTAATTTTTCCTGGGGCTTGTTCATTCCATTTTCTTTGGGTTGTGTGACTTCTAGCCACTTCCACAGCGGTAATGTTAGACAGTTTTTTCAGTTGAGAAGCAAGATCAGTTTCAAGTTTAGAAGCTTTAAAACTTCACCCAGAGCAAAGACCCAGTAGGGCTCAAGGTAATTAGCAATAATTAGACATGATAGGAAATGGATGTGTGAGGTTAAAACTCAAGGTAGTCACATGTGCACCCCCACTTCTGTGGACCTGGAGGCTGGTAAACCACTTTCTAAGAGAGTAAGAATGATCCTAGAAAAAGAAATACATGGAAAGATCCATCTCTCTGTAACACTATGTAGAATTATCTGTGGACTCCTTTGAAAGAAATCTCAGCACAGTAAAGTGTGTCACAGCCAGTTTCAGAAAGAATCAAGGCATTCTCAGTAGTTCCATGGGCATCCAAATGTAGGAATACCAACTCCCGCATCCCTCCGTACTTTCTTGTATCAAAGACCCAGGAGGAGTCTGCTCCAGCCGTGCTTACAGATTTCCATCTTTATGGTCATTTTTTTCAAACACATGGCAGCAGAAGGAAGATTGGCTTCTGAGAAGAGTCCACATCTTTCTTTTGGATAAGGCACCCTCTGGGAAAATTTTTCCCCAACCTCTTGTCACTTAGAATATACACCACCAGAGGAAGACGCTTCTCTTTTCCTTTCTAAAGTTTGTTAAGCACTTTCTACTTTGTATAGGTCGTCAAATGTTAAAGTCCATCCTTGTATTAACAATTCTTAGATCAGATGTTCTTGGATCCATTTGTTCTTTTATTTCTTCATTCATCAGATAATTATAGATTGTTCTCTGTGCTAGGCACTGAGGACACAGTAACAAGACATAGCCACGTCCCCTGTTCTTAAGGCACTTACATTGTAGAGGATGACAGACAATAGGCAAGCAAATGAACAACTAAAACAACATTTCAGGGAATGGGAAGAAGAGACTAAGGTAATGTGATAGAGCAACTTGTATGTGTTGTGGGGGAGAAGGAGGGTTGGGGGTCAGGCAGTGTTAGAAGGACCCAGCCACATGAAAAATCAGTGAAGAGTGCTGAAGGCAGAGGAACTAGCAAGTGCAAAGTCTCTGAACCAGAAAGGAGCTTAGCATGTATGAGGAAGGAAAAGAAAATCAATGTAGCTACAGTGTGATGATCAAAGTAAGGATGATGTCAGGGTCACATTGTATAGGGCGCCATCCATCATGTATGCGGAGGTCAGATTTATGCCAGGTGCCATGAACGGCACCACCAGCAGGAGTGCAATTTTTCTAAAATCCGATTACCTAGAAAGAAGCCTCGGCATATAGAATCATAACTCTCATTGGAAGTGACCCTAAAGGTCATCTAGTCTGAGAGAGAGAGCAAACGAGCGTGCAAATAATAAAGCAAATGGGTAAAATGTTGACAACTGATAAATGTAGATAAAAGGTATACAGGTGTTCTTTGTACTATTTTTATTTTTTCGACTTCTCTAAGTTTATCTACAAATGAAAAAAAAGTCTAATTATTTACAAATAAAATTTTTCTAAAAGTAAAAAAAAAAAATTCCCATAGTCCAAAGTCCATCAGCTCTTTGAAGGCAGTTCTTATTGTCCTACTCATGGGGTCATCCGCCTGTACTTCATCCTTTCATTGATGGAGTACACAGTCTCATGAGGCCGCCTATCTATAAAGGTTAATTTTTTTCTTTAGCTAAAATCAGTGTCTCTTGAATTTCTATCTTTTGATCCAGGTTCTTCCTTTAGAACCATAAATAAGAATAATCCCTTCAAGGCAAGCAAGGGTGCCACTAAGTGTAGAGATAGCAATCATCCTCAATCTTGTCTTCCCTTGGTTAAAATTTTCCTCTACAGTTCTAAGTGTTAATTCTTCTTGCTCTCTCCGGATGATTGCATACAAATGGCTACATGTATGCTCTGATCAGAATGTGTCAGTCCCGCAGATCGGCCCCCAGGACCTACCACATATCTTTCCTGCCTTTCCAAGTGGGCTTCAAAGACAAGACTCATGCCCACCCTTTCTGTCTGTTTTTCAAGTGTTCCAGGGGGAGCAGGATTATCAACTGGGCCCTACTGGTGGCCCTTGGAAGCCCCTCTGTGAACCCCAGGGCTCACTCCATCTCATCCTTGGACATTGGGCCAAATCCACGATGGGGTCTGAGAAAGGCAGATGGCTGAGTATCGCCAGAGGCCCAGGCAGTGTCTCCATACCTTCTGCTAGCTCTCCAATGTCATCTTCCCTGGAAGTGCCCTTCCTTTAGCCAAGGCTTTGATTCCTGTAGAAATCTAGTTTTTCCCTGATAGTAATATTATACATTGTTCTCCATCAATTACACTACACTATGACTGGGTTTCAGTTTTTTTGTGATAAAAGACATTTCGCGAAGGAATGTAAAGATGTTGGCTATACCATGGGAAGGTGAGAGAGAGATGGAGAACTAGGAGTTGGGATCCTGAGAACAAATTTTGCCTGTCTGCTCTTGAGTGCTCCCAGTAATTTCTTAGGTGCTTAGACCTGGCGTTATGCCAGGTCCACTGTAAATAGCTTATTTGTCCTTAAAATAATTCTCCGAGGGAGGACTGTTATTATGCCCATCTTATTGATGTGGAAACTGAGGCTCGCAAAGGGTAACTAATTTGACCATAGTTTTAGAACTAGCAAGCACGTTTGAAATCAGGTCTGCTGACTCCAGAGCCACTATGAACTCGAGCCAACTAAAGAGTGATTTTTATCCAAGGAGCCATGTCTGGCTGGTGGGGGTCAAGGATTAGCAATATGGAAGTTATGCATGAAAATGTTTACACCTCTAAGAGGAAGTTATTTGTGAAATGTTTGTACGTATTCTCTGCTTAATCTCTGCTGCTCATGTAGGAAGAGAGGACAACACAGGCAGTGAATATGAACTCTGTTGTATGGTTTTCTCCAAATGAGAACTAAAATACGTTGTGTCGACATATGGTATTCGAATCAAACATATTCGATTTCATTGACTTTGAGTTTTTTTTAAATTAATTGGAAATTTAAATACA